ATTCCTTTTGTGTAGCCACCCCCAGGGTCATACCAAGGTACATGTGGCCCGCACCAATGACCAATGGCAGTCCCTTCAGGAAAGTCGTGGTTTTAAGAGAAAGCGCTTGTCAGACCAAAATGGTTGTCCCCCAGGTTGCCTAAAGTCGTGCCCGCCTGTACATGTATTTCTCATATGGAAGCAGCCCAAAAGATGCCCAAGTGCAAAGTGATGTTAAGCAATGGTGGTTCCGCGTTCTAGTGGGCAGGCTTGGCCCTCGCAGGGGTTCGTCCTGGCAAGGGAAATCATGATTATTCCTACACGTCACGCAACAAGTTCTTGTCTTGGCAGGTAAGGCAAGCTAAAAAAGAGCGTTCGCACCATTTCATGCCTACATGCAAAGCCACCTCAGAACCATATCAGTGTAATTGCCCTGTGTAACCCAAAGTAGTTGTCTTATATCTGTAAGAGCCACCCCAAAATCATAACAGTGTAAGGGTAGTCCTGGGGCAACCAAACACAATTTGACAAACCTGTATAAGTGTTCACCCTGAAGCCACAAAAGAACCGAATCAATGTGTACAGATGTTTAGCCCGTCAGAACTCCCTCCCCTCCTTCCCCGTATACGCCCTGCGTGGGCCGCTCTGGCTGGCGTGCAGCGCGGGCTGCCTGCCAAAGCCACAACGCAGTGTGGCAGTGGTGCCAGACTTGATCCCTTGCAGCAAATCCAAAACCCTTGCCAAGCGTAGGTGTGAGCCCACAGGTGCTTCGAAGCCAGAGAGTTCTCCAAAACATGGGTAAAGAGAAAGGGCCTCGGTCGCTCCACGTCGAACATCGCCAACTTGTTTTTTGTTGCAAATATATCTGTCCATCCAAGCATCGTTCTTGGGGCTGGGGAATTGCTACGCTTGGGACCCTCTTCGTACTTCTTCTTCCATTCCGAAGTGTAAGTACTCTGCTGATGGCTGCATTTGCAATCGGAGCCCTTCGTGCGTTTGCCATGGAAGAAAAGGAACTTACATGCAACGTTCTTGTCACCACCAGGAGAAGGATCTTGAGATTTGAGAGGTGTCCTTTTTCGCGGCTTAGACTTCTCCTTTTGGCTTCTGCTTGTCAGGAAGAACGGGTGCCGAATTTTGGCATCCTTCGCCTCCGACTTGGGTTTAGCCTTGGGTTTTGCCTTTTCTTTGGGAGAGGGAAGCGCATTACCCAACTTGTGATCCTTGAGGGACTTCTGCTTGTTTTTCCCAATTCTTCTCTTCCATGGTTGCTTTCACCCGCCGATTAATCATGTTGAGCAAGTTTTCGCGGGATCACTGCGTTCCATGTGTTCATGCAGCTTCCAATTCCAACTCTTTTGAGTTCCCTTTCAGCTTTCGATACAGCGTATCTCTCAACTCCTCCTCTTGCAGAACGGACTCGGGTTTAATTCCAGCAATGATCTCTAGGCACCGCAGTTTGAAATCTCCCGTCTTCTTGTCGCCAGGATAGGTCAACTTGTACAAGTGTTCCACTCCGAAAACAAGATCGAGTCTGTCGTACGTACGAAAGCTGTCCAGAACCATGAATATCATTTGTCTTCCTTTAATGCCCTTTCCGACCTTGATCAGCTTGGCAATTGCCTGCTAACCCTCAAGAGCGACTTCACTCGCAGCGGGCTTGATCATTTTGTCCGTGCTTATCACCAACTTGCTGTCAACACCGGCGAATCTCAAACCGCCGCCGTTGGAAAGTGCATCGATCGTGGCTTTCGGGCTAAATGCCTCAGCAAGCCACGCCCGCGGTCTGGATCACCACAACCTGCTAGAACGTTCGACAACAGTTTGCCTTTCAATCTTTGGCCATGAAGGGACTGATCGTCTCTGCCTCCTTTCTCGAGACCTTGGTCTTGGTGACCTTGAGACCTTGGTCTTGGTGACAGCATCAGACAAGGTGGTTGGCTTGACAGGGGAAGTGGACCGCTTAGGAGACCCACTCCTCGAGTCCCTGCATTGGGCGTGGCAACGTCACCGAACTTTGGCAATGCAACAGATTGGTCATTGAATAGCTCATCATATCGTTCGGTCAATTCGTCAAGTTCCTCCTGTACCTCATTCCTATGGTTTCTGAGTCTATCGCAAGCGCTCTGCAACTGTTCTGACTCTTCATCCCGGGTCTGCGCGATGGACTCAGCTTTCCTGGCCTTTACCAATGCCTCCCTCGCTTCGTCCTCCGCTTTTCTCTCGCCGTCTCTGGCGGCCAGATACTCAGAGTTCAGGTTTCCCATGCTCTTTTCATTGAGCATTGAACTGTTGCATGGACTCATATTGTTTCTGAAGGGCGCTGCGCTGAGTCTGGGCCACGTTCTCGACCCATTTCATGTTCTTCTTCATCAGTTCAGCTTGTTCCTCCGCCATTTCGGTAGAGACCGGCATGCCGTGACTCTCCTTCCTGGCTTCAGATAATTCACTCTTCAGATTGGAAGCTGTCGTCTCCTCTTGGTTCAAATGATCCCTCAAACGATCAACTTCCAGTTTGGCTCGGTTTTCCACATCACTGAGTTGTGTCCTTGCCTCACTGGTGATCTGAAGCTTGATAGCCTCAGCTCTTTGATCGGCTAGCTTTTCAGCAGATAGGAGCCACTCTTCCTTCGGTTCACTTCGATTTTTGGATCTGTCCGTCTTTGTTAGTAACAATGTTGTTATGGTACATTTCCGCACCTCTCAATCTGGCTTGCATGGTCGACTCTTCATGTCTCATTGTTTCTCGAAGACGTTCATTCTCATGATTCAGTCTGGCCCGTTACTCGGTTCCAGAACTTATCATGGACTGATATTCGTTCGTGGCCTCGATTATTTCCGCAAAGAAGCTGACATCTCTCTGTTCTCAGCTCGCATCGTCCGATTCTCACAGTTAAAGTCATGAGCTACTGTCTCAACTTCACTCAGTCCGGTCGATTTGACGTCCAACTGATCCATCGCCAAGTTGTATTCGTCTCTCATTCTACCATGAACGTGAGCAAATTGGGATTCAAGGGCATTGTTCATCCTCTCAAGCCCCGGGATCCTCTGCAGGCTTCCCGCTTCATCGGATTCCAGTCTACCTGCGGCTGACTGCAACGACGCACATTCCTTCTTCAACGCATTGTTCTTAACAAGCTGTCCTGCGGCCTTACTCATTTGTGCTTCCGCCTTTCTTTGGGCTTTCCGCAATTCATCATCGAGTTGTTGGTCCGCATTTCTGGGGTCGCTTGGGGAACCCCTTGGGGAGGATGACTTTTCTCCCGTACGAGATTTACAGACTCGAGTCCGCCCATCGTCTTCATCCGAAGGTGACGGTGCTCTCGAAAGGGAGGAAGCTCTTGCTCCCGTGGTCTGATCAACGCCGGCATCACTCTGCTGGCTTACTGCTGCAGGCCCAGTGCTCGCAACGATAGTATTGATAGTATCTCCACTCCCATGGCCGGCTGATTCCATGAAATGAAATGTCGGCAGCAGGTGCTGCGAATGTAATTGAAGATCTACCATCGGACATTGTCCCGCAAGTATTGCGCCACCACTTGGCAATGTGAGTAAATAAATCGATCGATTCAATATGAAGCGGGGTTCAAGACCTCTCGCTTCGAATCAATCTTGTCTCACAGCACGTGGGACAAGCCCTACGGCTGTCTCACAGCACGTGGGACAAGCCCTACGGCTGATAACCTGAGAAACCGAGGGGTATATTTGTTTCCCCGACAATACTGGTTGTAATGCCCTTCGGGGTGGGCACGAAGGCTTGAATATCCTCAACCCGGTGCCCAGCCTGTAAGCTCGATATTTTGTTCCTGATGCAACTGTACACGCTTGTCGTTGTGAACAATCGCACGTTACTTGAGCCATATGGCCATGGTGGATGTAAACAGTTAACATCATGATGATGATCCCTGTTCTATTCACAGTGAGAGTGGAGTGTGAGAGTGGAGTGTGAGAGTGGAGTGTGAGAGTGGAAGGTGAGAGTGGAGGGGGAGAGGAGAGGGTGAGAGTGGAGGGTGAGAGTGGGGTGTGAGAATGGAGGGTGAGAGTGGAGGGTGAGAGTGGAGGGTGAGAGTGAAGGGTGAGAGTGGAGGGTGAGAGTGGAGTGTGAGAGTGGAGTGTGAGAGTGGAGTGTGAGAGTGGAAGGTGAGAGTGGAGGGTGAGAGTGGAGGGTGAGAGTGGAGGGTGAGAGTGGAGGGTGAGAGTGGAGGGTGAGAGTGGGGTGTGAGAATGGAGGGTGGGAGTGGAGGGTGAGAGTGGGAGTGTGAGTGGGAGTGTGAGCGGAGTGTGAGTGGAGTGTGAGTGGAGTGTGAGTGGAGTGTGAGTGGAGTGTGAGTGGAGTGTGAGTGGAGTGTGAGTGGAGTGTGAGTGGAGTGTGAGTGGAGTGGAGTGGCGTGGAGTGGCGTGAGTGGCGTGAGGTGAGGTGAGGTGAGGCGAGGCGAGGAGAGGCGAGGTGAGTGAGTGAACTTCTTACCTGCCTGCCTGCATCCATCCATGCATGCATGCATGCATGGATGGATGGCTGGATGGTGGATGGATGGATGGATGGATGGATGGATGGATGGATGGATGGATGGATGGATGGATGGATGGATGGATGGATGGATGGATGGATGGATGGATGGATGGATGGATGGATGGATGGATGGATGGATGGATGGATGGATGGATGGATGGATGGATGGATGGATGGATGGATGGATGGATGGATGGATGGATGGATGGATGGATGGATGGATGGATGGATGGATGGATGGATGGATGGATGGATGGAGAGTTATATGTGTATGTTCATGTGTATGTGTGGGTACCTGCATGTGCATCTGCATGTGCATTTGCATGATGTGTGTATCTGTGTGTGTGTGTGAGCCTCTCCTCTTCAGCATTGCGGTGTTCATTCAAAGCGCTCTTTTTCTCCCTCGTGTCCAAAAGGTACGCGCCTCAGTGGCCCTTCAGGTCCCCAAGCAAAGCAAACAGGTCATAACAGGTCCTTTGTGCCAGGCTGAATCCTAGGATTTCTGTTTAAGGCTTTTGCGAAACTTTGCGGGGCTTCCGCTTGCGAGCCCCAGATTTTTTTCCGGAGCTGGTGAGACATCGGTGAAAGACGCAAAGCGCAGCACATGGCACATGGCTCAAGCATGCGATCGCCAGGTCATCGGGCTAGATGTACCCTGCGCGGTGCTGGGGCCTCAGTTCATGATAAAGACCACCAAAAACGAAAAAGAGACGTGTTCTCCGCCTTTGAGGTTCTCTGCAACTGAGATGCACAATTGACCAGAGGCTGTCGATGCCGATCCCAACTCTGACCGAGCACTGAGCAGCAGCTCCTTGTGGGTTTGCAGCATGCGGTGCCGCAGTGCAGCAACGTCTTTATGAGGCAGGCACGGAATCCACGGTTGCATGCTTCTGCTTGAGTCTCTCCAGCTCAAGACTGGCAAGGCAACAAACATCAACATGACTTGCAGCGAGCATATTGCAATCGCAAATCGGTGTGAAGCACCATTTTAACTTATTTTAACCTTTCCCTGAACTGCAACCCATCACACCCGGCAACGAACGATCGCACACCTGTCGTTCAGTCTCTGATGCTCTTCCTCAGCACAGCAGGACACTTCCTCAACCCCTGACATCTCACTCAACAAGCCGTGTCTTCGCGGCCTAAGCTCCCAACATGCAGCTTCATGTCTCGAACCTGACCATCGAGGCAATACAGCGTACTCATGCCCTGCATGCGCATTCTGGGGATTACCTGTGTTGCGCTTCACGTTCCTCGGCCACTGGGCCGAAAAAATGATGTGACAAATGTCACAGTCAACTTGGTTGCAAGAATGCATCTCCGCTCTTGGTGCTTGGTTAGTGGCTAGCCCAGTAGCCACCGCCCTCAAGAACTCCTTTCTAAAGAGAGGCTGTTTTGCAAGTTAGTGCCAGGTTGGTGCTGCAGGTGCTGGCCAGGGTGCTGTTTGGGGAGTGTTTCATATCTGAGCACATGCTGCCGGCATCTTCCGGGTGACTCGGGCTCGCATGTACCGTTCCCACGGCCCCGGGCCCCGCCTCCTCGTTGTCCAGCGCCAGCTGTTGCCTCTCCCATGCGAGGTCCAAGCCTCACAGACGGGCTCCAGCACTCGCTGAGAGCAACAGGAACGGCCGAATGGCCCCCGACGTTGGGAAAAGCGACGGAAAAGACGGAGAAGAGAAAAAAGAAGAGGAGAAGAGGAAGACAAAAAGAGGCCACAAAGAGATGTGCAAATCCCCGGGTTCAGGCCTCTGAGGTCGCGTTGGGCCTCTTCAAGCTGCACCTGTAGCTCCGATGAGCTAAAGAGCACATGCTCCAGAAAGATGTCCCATCGCCTGCAAAACAGTCGCCTGCTGCGAGCGAGCCAGGATGGCCCGCTCGGCAGTCTCAATTCCCTCCAGCAGCTTGCCTATTCGACCTCAAGCTGCGCAGCTGGCTGGAAGGCGGACGGAACAAACGTCACACATCAGCTGACCAGCATGCGCTCAGAGCCCGTCGGTCATAGCTCGACATCACCTGGCATGACGAAGAGGCTCAAAGAAGTAAAGAGGCAAAGAAGTAAAAAGGCAAAGACGAGGATGAACACAAGCGACACAAGGCTTAGAGTCCACCTTGAGGAGCGCCACTGCGCCGCGCATAGCCTGCGCAGACGGTGGCCGAGATGGCCGCGCTGGCTTTGCCAGCTGGACCTGCGCGGGCTGCACGGGCTGCACGGGCTGCACAGGTGCAGCGCATTTTGCATTTGGATCGCCGTCCCCGGCCTCTTGGGAGGGCTCTATCTCCGCCTGTTGAGCAAAGGCCAAGGAGCCATTGACGGCATCTGACGAGTGGGCCAGCTTGGACTTCAGGTCGATGTCTCCGGGTTCACCAGATCCGCCCTTTGCAGATGTGGCTTCCAAAGCAGCTTCCAGGGATCCGTCCTGGAAAGCCACCGACAGCTGCTTGCCAAGCTTCTCGCGCAGGTCGCCGGACTCGTTGGGATTTTGTGGCCCGATGGACGAAAGCAGGGATTCCAGCGCGCCGTCCGCCGCTGCCTCCTCCATGCGGAGCGCAACTTTGGCGCGAACAGCGTCCACGTTCGACGTGCGCTTGGTCAGCCTCTCTTGCAGTGCTGCTTCCAGCGAGCCGTTGGCCAACGCCGTCTCTAGTTCAGCGGCCACCTTGACTCGCAGAACTTCAACATCACAGGTTGCTGTCCTTGCAGAGTTGGCCAAGGCTGTCTCCAGTGACCCGTCCTCAAGGCACTTCTCCAATTGAGACGCTACCTTGGTTCGGAGGATGTCGATGTCTGTCTGCTTACTCTGGGAGAGCGCAGCCTCCAGCGACCCATCAACCAATGAAGCCTCCAGCAATGCTGCTGTCCGATTTCGAAGTGCATCCGTGTTGGTCCTCGTTGTTCTGGCCAGCGCGGCCTCCAGCGACCCATCAGCCAAAGAAGCCTCGAGCAATGCTGCTGTCCGATTTCGAAGTGCATCCATATTGGTCCCCATTGATTTGGCCAACGCGGCCTCCAGAGACCCATCAGCCAAAGAAGCCTCAAGCTGGGCTGCCATTTTGGCGCGCAAATGATCAACACGTTGGGGCTGATTGTGGCTCCGCATGCTCGCAAGAGTGGACTCGAGCGAGCCGTCCATGCATGCGATCTCCAGCTGCTGTGCCATTCGCACCCTCTTCAAATCAATGTCGCCCTCGCAGTCAGGCTCTGGCTCGGCAATGATTGTGGCAGCATCCTTTGGTGGCTGAATGCTGGCCCGCAATTGTCAAGCCTACGAACTCGACCTTGGGGTCTCAAAATCATAAGTGTGCATGTCCCTCCCCCATGCTGTGCAGTAGGGCTAGCCAGAGTGCGAGCAAAGCACTGGCCTCTTTTGATCCAAATCTTCGAACGACATCCCCTGTCCTGATCATCCTCAAAGGCTATGTTCAAGGCAGAGTCCAAGGTGCCCTCTGCAAGGGACTGCACCAAAAGCCCTTGAAGCCGCAGCCTCGGCAAAATGAACTGAGATACCACCAAACAAGTAGACAGGAGCAACGTTGCCTTGCCATGCTTGTTTGAGGGTCGAGATTTAATTTGGGTTTTTTTGTTTTATTGTGGGATTTTTTTGCTTTCCGTCCTGGCTACTAAAATGCTGTAATTTACAGCATTGTCTCGCGAAATGTACGTATTTTACGCTAGTCCGTCAACATCATCAGCATTGTTTTCAACATCCCCCGCATGTCCAGCCAACATCCCCCGCATCACCAGCAAATGGCTTCCTGCATCTTCAGCATCATCAGTTCCTCTGCGGCAAGGTAGGTAGGCATTTATGCATGCATGTTAAAAAGAGGGGCGGGTCCCCCCTGTGAGGATTCAAATACGGGCAAACTAATCCCTGTAAAACACCTAAAACGTAGCGGGGGGCCATGATGATTGAAGTGATGTTTCAATTGGGGGTGCGTTTGAATCTCTGCCAAAATCCAAAAAAGTAGCGGGGGGGTTTGGGGGGGGGGGGTGAGGGGCACCTTGTACCAGAAGGGAAGTAGTAGAGGTCGTTGTTTAGGTCCCTGGATCTATTCCAGAGAGAATCCAATATGCCACTATGGATGATTGGAGGATGGATTGTCCCTGGTGGATTGTCTTGTGGATAATCCTGTAAGCGGCCTGCAAAGGTTCCTTTGTCACGCAATCATGAGTGTTGCTATGATACAGAAAGGGCCTTGAGCCAAATGGTTGCGGGAGATCAATTGTGTAACAAACCAAACACAAAACAGACACAAATTTCTTTTGATCTCCAGCACTAGATATGAAATACTATTGGCTTCATGGCCTTTGGCCGTAGCCTTGCTGTATGCCGTAGCCATGCTGTATGCCGTAGCCATGTGTATTAAAATGCCGGATTCATCCTCTTTTCTGCTCGGATGAAATGTCTTGGCTTGTGAAATGGGAAAACACTATGTACTGCTTCTGTGAGATACCTAGATGTATCAAATGGTGATGTACAACGCTATGTACACGCGGGACGAATGTGAAACTATTGATCTCTCACTGTATAGCCTTGTAGGCGGTGAGGATCAATCATCTGATTTGAGTTCGTAGTGCTGAACGTATGAATCTTCCTGGTCAGTCGGATCGATGATACCATCGACGGCTGCTGTCGGATTGACTGCTATAGTCTCCATAATCATTCCAGGTCGAGGCGCCATAGTCCTTCCACTGCTTCTGATGTCCCCACTGCTTGTTGTAGTCCTTGTATTCCTGCGGGGTCCAGGCTTGTTTCTTCTTGAGGTACTCCTGGGATCTCTCAAAGTTGCGTTGCCTGGTTGCAGATTTGCTGCGGATGTAAACCATGAGGGGACTGTGCGAGTCGGAGTCCTGTGAGCCATTCATGAACATGTCATTGTTCACGTGCTCAAAGCGCTCGGCGGATGAGACCTGGTAATCGAATATGGCCTTTGTTGGATAGTTCCGCATGGCTTCCAGTTGTTCATCATCCATGGCGTTCATCTCGTCCTTCCGGAAAACCTGCTGGATATTCGTTTTGCCCCATCCAAGCACGAAAGTCATCATCACATCTGGGAATGTTCGATCGTATCCTGATCCACACTTCATGTACAGTTGATGACGGACAATGGATTTTAGGGTGCACGAAGTCTCCATCGCATACTCCATTCTGTCCACGAGTGGCAAATTCTTCGTTTCATTCCACAGTCTCTGATATGCCTTCATGAGGATGTTCACGAGACCGTTGGCCGGATTGAAGACGTGCTGGAGTTTGCTGTAGGTATTCGCTGATTTATTGGCGTCTCCGGTGATCGCATCGCATCGGTACAAAGTTACGAGCGGCATGATTTCATTCTGAAGATCTTCCCGTGCTGGTCCATGGCTGATTGATGGATGAATGTGGAAGACTCCAATGGTAGCAAACGGAAGGTCTGCCCTCGTTACGTGGCGGTCGTCATACTCGAGGAGTGACTTGTTGGATGATTTCGGGAGCATGCCACGAATCTCATCACTCTGCTCAATGTGAAGAACGACAATCTCCTTGTCTCGGCCATAGTTGGCAATCCGAGGTCGGAATTTCGTATTCGGGATCAGTGCAACTTCCTTCGGTTCCGAAGAAACACCTGAACATTCGAATGTGGTTCCCCAATTCTGACTCTTGGTGGAAATGTGTCTTGCCAGTAGTTCCACTCTTGCAGAAGGTCCGCCGCGGACAAAGCATGCGATTGGTCTGGATGACCATTGCTTGATCACGATGCCTTTGTACCCGAATCGGATGAACGTCTTGATGAGTTCCCTGGATTTCTCATCATTAGGACTGAAGAATGCGTCTGCTTCATTCAAGATGCGTGCACTGTTTTGCATCATCATCTTCACGATTGGTCGATCCTTCATCGGCATGTTGTACACCTCCCTGTTGTCCAGCTTTGGGTTCCTCGTGAGGTTTCCATGGTTCAAGGTAAGCATGTTGATGAGGTGAACTCATGCGTCTTGAGATAGTTCACAGGAGGACGGTCGGTCGGCTGCATCAACGATCCCAGGATATCGGCATATGCTCGGATGATTTCCGGGTCATCATGTGACCTAAGCTTCTTCAGTCCAAGTGGAAGCTTAATCGGATAGCCGGATCCTGGTTGTGCCTGCTTGTACTCGTCCATGGTGGGACATTCTCCTCGATGAGGGAAGTAGAATTCTTCTTCTCCGAGATTGACATCGGGATCGACATGTGCCAATGAGGCTCTCTCGCACTCTGTCAATTTGGGATGAGCTCTTCTTGGATCTTTGTTGTACTTGTTCATGAAGCGGAGGAGGTTCCCCTTGGTCTCCGCGAGCTCTTCCTCGGCGTCCTTTTGTTCAAATCTGTTTCAAGATAGATTTGCTTGAGTTCCTGGATGAACTCGTCTAGGTTCTCTGAATTGTGATATTCCACGGTGACCTTTGGTTTGACGGATCTTTCCCCGGAGGGTTCCATGGTCTCCTCTTTAGCTTCGTCCTGATCGGTGGAGTCCCGTCGCTTCTTGGTCTCTGATGAAGTATATTTTTCCTTGCTGTGTTTGGTGGAATTCACATAATTGAAGAAGGCATCGGCGAATTCACGGATCTTGGTGTCGTACATCTCGAAATCTTCACAACTGAGATGCTTCTTCATGATCCACTTGTTGCTCGCCATGATGCTGCCATCAGGTTCAAATGCTGCAACAATGTTCCTTGCCTCGATGGTTTGATCTGTCAGCGCTGTTCGCTCTTCGGAGAGTCGGATGCCATAGTCTTGGTCCTTGAGAAATGCAAGGATCAACAGTGCATCTCTTCCTGCTGGCACATGGGTTAGTGCTGCTTCTGGCTCATCGTCGTCAAGGATGACGTCATCGATGCATGCCATGTGGACGCGCATTCTCCCCGAAAGGTTTGACTGGGATTTCCCAGATTTGAGCCCGTTCTCCATGATGCTGAGGAGTTGATTTCCATAGGTTGCATGGAACATGAACGTGATGGGCTTCTTCGCGAACGGCTTGATTTTTCTCTCTTCTTCAATGGATGGTGGTGCCGGCCTTCGCATTCTGTACTTGGGCTGAGCTGTGCTTTCATCTTCATGAGGCGCCTCGGATCTGGACGGATGCGGACTGGTGGAATGGATTCCGTTGGGAGATCATAGTCCGGTTCGTCGTGTTGAGGCTCTCTCTGCTGCTCAGAGTACAGGGGTCGTCCAAAGGATTGGATCTCGACTTGTCGTGTATGTCCGCTTGCCCCATGGGGCAAGTCGCAGATGAGAATCCATCCGCCTCTCAACAACCCGAGAACGTCAACATGGAGCAGGTAGATTATGATCCAGATTCCGACGACGATGATTCAGATGAAGAAGGGCATCCCCCCGCAGGAAGGCCGACGTCGAAGGCGATGCCACATCCAAAACTTGTTCCAAAGTCACCGCCACCAGCACTGAGGCTTGTCTCAAAGGTCAAGCCAGCACCTAAGAACATCCTGGATGAAGAGACGGAATCCGACAATCATCCTGGTGATCGACCTGCACTTCCAAGGCGACCAGCGATGCGGCCAGTTCTCACATCCAATGACCGGTGGTTTGTAACAAATGGATCAGAATCAGACATCAGCCTCCAGAAGGAATCCGTACACCCAGGACCTTTCGGAAACTCAAAATTCCTGAGTTTTGTGTACGAATACTATAAGGAGAGCTCAACCATCCTCGATGTCAATCCGGACTCCCACTTCATCCCTGAGCATGAACGACCACATGGAGTCAAAGTATTTTGGTTGAAGGCCAGATTCAACGATTACTGGCAGCCAACACTTCAAGGTGAAGGACCTCATACAGAGAAACAATACATGGACTTCATCAAGAAGGTCTACAGCATCTGCTGCTACACCAATGCTCAATCCGAAGTTTACGGAACCGACATCATCCCGATGGTATGCCACAACGGCAACATTGATCTCGAGAAGACCGTCCAGAATGTCGAACAGGTTTGCAAGTACTTCCACATGGATCCATCCAAAGCGAAACAGATCACTGACCTCATCCTCTGGCGAATCGAGAGAATGAGCAGATCGTTTTCCGGATGTCTTCGACATGATCCAAGGCATGGCATCCACAAGGAATGCAAATGACAAGTGGGCATGGGTCCTGGTGGATCCGTTGAGCTCTATGACGCATTGACCTGCATCACACATGCCAGGAACTTCATTGGAAATAAGCCAGGACTTCTCTTGATGGCTATGTTCCCGAGCTATGGAAAATCACGTTTCGAAATTGCATTCGTGTATCCATCCGTGGACGGGTCATATAATGAGCGCAAGGCAAGGGGAGAAATTGTTCCAAGGAATCGAGGGATCGACAAGCTCACCACAAGATCCGCACAAAATGCACTCCGGCCCAATGGCAAGGAATTCTATAACGATCCCGAGATGGAGTTCTACGTGAGATGCAACGTCGGACGTCTCATCTTCCTCATCACGAGCAGGGGATTCCTTCAACGGAGATGCCCGTCT